TATGCTAATTACATTTTATATAAATATAAAATGACAGAAAAGCAAAAAATGACAGAAATTGATTAATACAAGAAAGAAAAAAAAGTTGCCTAATGTGTGTTGATGTTTGTTGGCTTAAATCAGTACAAAACTTATTAATAAATGACTTGCAAATAAAACATATTTATATTACACATTTGAAATCGTCAATCAATCATTGTTAGATCACCATTGGAAACCTGGAAGCACTGGACGGCCGTTTCGTTCTGGTATGGGACTCATCAGTGGCAGTGCGCATCCACGACTCCTGCTCCTCGCAGCACTCAAACCCGGGACCTTCGGTATTGTGGGCAAACACCTAACCATCGGACCACTGGTCCGGCATCCAACGGTCCCGTACCAGGGCGAAACGGCCGTCCAGTGCTTCCAGGTTTCTAATGGTGGTCTAACAATGATCGATTGATGATTTCAAATGTGTAAAAACACAAACCTCCAAAACTCTGCCCCAAAAACATTTATATTAGCCAATAGTTTATGACTGAAAAAAAACGATTCATTATATGAATTAGTAAACAGAGCATGGAATCTTTGTCTCATCAACACTTTATATTATTTATCATCAGTTGAGGTGACTGGGATATGAGTTGCATATGCATAATTAACTGTCAATTGCCTCGTCGAGCTATGTTTTGCGATGTAGGAGTAGGTTGGAAGATAGCTAGAGGTGGGCAAATCAAAACATGGCTCAAATTGCATGAAGTCATTGACAGGTGGGCTGTGTTACGTTGGTAGGTGTTGACTACCTGATTGGGGTCAGCGAGATGATTATAATCGATAGTTAGAGACCTTGAATGACATGTCTCAAAATCGTTTGCAATAGCGTAGGTTCATTCATTCATTGTATTCTCTCAAATTTTAACCTTCTAAATTCCTCATCACCTCTATCTTTCGCTATTTTTTTAGTTCATTTCACTAGATTATACTTCTTGAATACTGTATTCGAACCTTAATCTTCTCCGATTACTGCTAATACTTCTACTATCTCTACCACTATTGGATTTGAACTAACAATTCCGTCTTTGCGTTGATGGGATATGGCAACTTGAACTGATGTACGTACATACGAAATTTTACGTTTTTGTTGACTGACTATTTGTCAGAACAAGCAGTATACGAAGCTTGGGGATTATAAAGAATATAATCCACTACAAGAGGTATTGTTAGTTACGGCTGGGAGTATTATTGATGTATATATATATAATATATATACCAAAAAATTTTGTTTTCAATGCTACTGACTTTCGCTTGTGTAAACACAAGATACTTTACGTTTGCTTACTTACTTACTGACTTACTTACTCCTGTTACCCTTCGTAAAGCATAGGCCACCAACCGGTATTCTCCAATCAACTCCATTCTCCGCCTTGTTTTCCAATTCTGTCCAATTGTTGTTCATTCTCTTCACGTCTGTCCCCATTTCTTGGCGTAATGTGGTTTTTTGGTGTTCCTGTTTTCCTTTGGCCTAGAGGATTGAAAGTGAGGGCTTATCTTGTGACTAGAATGTTTGTCCTATCCACCTTCGAAACTTCTTCCTGATTTATTCTTCTGCTAGATTCCGGTTTCTTCTCTCATAGAGGAGGTTGTTGCTGATAGTGTCTAGCCAACAGATACTCAATATCTTGTGTAGACAACTAGTAACAAACACCTGTATCTTGTGGATGATGACTTTTGTAGTGTCTTCACATCTGTTTAAGATCCGTCTATACTTTGTCCCAGAACTACTTAACTCAATTATAACGGTTTGCGATAGATAGAGTTCAGGATATATATAATATATGCTGTTTATTATTTGAGATTCGCAATTTAAATGGACTTTCTGATTAGCGTTAACGTAAATTTTCAAGTCACCTATTCTTTGTTTTACACTCTACTGTTTTTTATTCATCATGGTACAGTGCTTACTTGAATTGTCGACTTTTTTAATATATATATATATATATATATATATATATATATATATATATATATATATATATATATATATAAATACTTACGTACTTACTTTCGCCTGTAAACCCAAATGGAGCATAGGCCACCTACCAGTTTTCTCCAACCAACTCTGTCCTGGGCATCCCTTTCCAATTCTGTCCAATTTTTGTTCATTCCTCTCACATCTTTCTCTATTTCTCGGTATAATGTGTTCCTTGGCCTTTCTCTTCTCCTTCTGCCTTGAGGGTTCCATGTAAGGGATTGTCTCGTGACGCAGTTAGGTGCTTTCCGCAATGTGTCCAATCCACTTCCACCGCTTCTTCTTGATTTCCTCCTCCTACTCTGGAATCCGGTTTGTTCTCTCCCACAATACGTTGTTGCTGATGGTGTCTGGCCAACGAATCCGAAGTATTTTGTGTAGACAACTGTTAATAAACACTTGTATCTTCTGGATGATGCCTTTCGTGATTCTCCAAGTTTCCTGTGCATACAGTATAACTGTCTTGACATTTGTATTGAAAATTGTGATTTTGGTTTTGGTTGAAAGTTATTTGGAGTTCGAGATATTTTTCAACTGTCCTATCCACCTCCAAAACGTTTTCCTGATTTATTCCTCCGGTAGAATCTGGTTTCTTCTCTCACAGAAGAGGTTGTTGCTGATGGTTTTTGACCAACAGATACTCAATATCTTTTGTAGACAACTATTAGCAAACACCTGTATGTTGCAGATGTAGTGTCTTCACCTCTGTTTAAGATCCGTCTACACTTTGTCCCAGAACTAATTAACTCAATTATGACGGTTCGCATCTTCCTGTTTTTAATGAATGAATTCAAATGGTTTTTTTGTTACCATTTTTATCATCTGATATAAAAAAGTTTCTTGATTATGACTACGATTATAGAAGCATCTAATTAAAGTATATGTTATCTAAAATAATTTGAATCGTCACCGACGGTAGATGCAGAAATTACCACTGTTAAAATTGTGATTATTAGTTCTTATGATTATGTCCAAATATCTTGCCTATTCAAAACTGTATTTCTCTTCTACCTGAAACTATGTCTAAGTAGTACAGGGCATACTATAAACTTATAAGTGTGGATTATTATAAGCTTATAGGGAGGGACCTTGGGTAATTCAGTGGTGATATATTCCAATCTTAGTTTCATCCAAAATTCAATACGGAGGTGTACGGAGGATTTGATTATGACCTGTTTGGTTTTGTGTTCTGCTATGGGTGCATGTTGTGTTGCATCGGAGAATTTTGCTTTTTCCCGCACAAACACATACACATACGTTCCATGTACCTAAAAAAATGGTTGCTCTGGTTGTCAGAAGAGACATCGGCCCCGTGACTTCCAAGGGAACTCGGCTTTCATCACACGACGTCATAATTCTTCTTGCAACTCCCAGGGCAGAGTTAAAATGGTTTGAATTATTTTTTCTGGTTAGCGTTTTTTTGGCAAGTTAGTTTTTGACGGAATGGGGTCGCCAACCCCAAGTCCAACCCTCCTCCTTTACCCGGGCTTGGGACCGGCAGTAGCCCCGAAGGTTCTACTGGCGGAGTTGTAAGGCCTTTATATGAGAAGTTTTTTAAAGTGTTAGCTCTGCTCTTCAACTGACCATACCACAGGAGACAAAAATGGGCTTAGGTGAGGTGGGGCATTGTAGTGAAGGAGAACACTGGTGAGGGCAACCGGATTGTATCTAACGAAAATTACAGAGTTACTCAGTAAAATAGGAAAACCATATCGTAAATCGTTAATTTGCAAAATATCAGTTCATCATATCGAAATGGACTGTTGTTCCTGTTGCAAAACATCAATCCATTGTCACTATTCATGCGTTCTTTTCATACAAATTCAATTGTTTTCTAACTCTTCCTTTCTTGATCTTCCCCCATCTTCTGCTGCCAGACATTACATTGACACTCGCGTCATATACTACTTATAAGTAGCTCGCACCACAGCATTTTCAGGGTAAACGTTTTCTAACCCCTTTCTTCTTTCTTTGTGAGAAGTCAGCAGGTCGGTTAAAACTTAACATGATTATATGAATACTAACAACCTGCAATTCTTGTACAATTGATGTAGAAAGTTTCTTATAGCAAGTAGGCGAAAAAACACTCTCCAACAACGCGTATACACCTATTACTTTATCATTGATTTTCTTTTCAATCAGCTAACTAATTGAATCCCAATTTAGAATGAAAAATATATATATTTTATAGATTTCAATATTAATCACAATCTGAAAAATCAGTTATAAATTTCAGTCTTATTGTATATATACCTATGCAAATTTTCTTTTTGGGTTGAATAGAATATCAGTGTATACATGAATGACTGTAAAAAAAATATGAATGCAATCAATTCTATCACTGTTTTATTTTTAGCGCACTAATGTACTTTTCACAAGTAAACTGTATGATTTTTGTCTGCATTCCTTTCTATTTCTTACTTTTATTATTATGATTATTATTACTATAATTTCATAATAACTAGAAGGAACATTTTTATTTAATAAAAATATTCCATCTCTACTGATTTTGGGGAAATGTGCATCAGTTATGCTTTTTCACTGCTGTTGTTGTTGTTGTTGTTGTTGATGGTGTTGTTAGTTCTTTCACACAAATAGGCAGTTAGTTACTTTTTCTTCATAGATTTTATAATTTCATTTATCTGATTGTCAGAAATAATTACTGATTTGTGTGTCTGTGTGTGTGTGCATGTGCATGTGCACTTGATTACTCTTGAAAGAATTACACATATATACATGCATACATGCATATAGCATTAGTAGTATTTCTGTGTGTGTTTTTTCCTTTTACATTATCTGTTCAAGTAATAATATTTCCTGCGCGCGCGTAGGTGTAGTAGTTTAATCGCCAATAAATAGATCAAGAAACTCCAGTTTGATTGGTCCAAAAGTCTCAAGGTCATGGAAGTGATTTTCACTCATCTCTCTCTCTCTCTATATATATATATATATATATATACATAAACAGATATGTTTAGATAATTACACATTTTTCCTTCCCAGATAAATTAAACATTGATTGACATTGAATTGCATTTTTATAGTGCATCCATTGTAGTAGCAATTACACCTAATACAGAGAAAAATTATTCATAATTATTATACACAATTCAAATAGTGCAGAAAACTGAAAAAACAGAGAAAAAGTAACATTTTTTTCCAATTAAATCATTTCACGTCTCATTAAAAAATTATCAATTATTATCATAACTAATTAGTCAATTAATTTTATGTAAGTAATATTTTTTCTTTGTGTCTTTATTTGTTTTAATCAACTAACTCATTGATTGATATTTGACTCATATATATGTGTTAATTTGTGTTAATAATATATATATATATATATTGCTTGAAAAACGAGTAAAATAAATCACTTCAGTCAGTCTGTTGTTGTTTTAATCAAATTCTTCAAAAAAAAATTATTGAAATCTGTATTAGTCAGTCATCTTACTTTTACTTATTTCATTGTTGATTGTTCAATGTTCAATGGTTGCGTTGAAACATTGAACACCTTCCATTATATGGCTACATTTTAGTTATACTGTGATGCGAGCTACTTATAAGTAGTATATGACGTGAGTGTCAATGTAATGTCTGGCAGCAGAAGATGAGGGAAGATCAAGAAAGGAAGAGTTAGAAGAACACAATGGAATTTGTATGAAACGAACGCATGAATAGTAGTGACAATGGATTGATGTTTTGCAACAGGAACAACAGTCCAGTTCGATATGATGAACTGATATTTTGCAAATGAACGATTTACGATATGGTTTCCCGATGATTTTACTGAGTAACGTTGTAATTTTCCTTAAATACAATCCGGTTGCCCCACCTGTATTCTCGTTCACTACAATACTATTTTAAAAATTAAGCAAAATGAATTAGATTACTAAGAAGTGATGATAATCTTATTCAGCTATTTAAAAAAATAGGTTCACCTGTTACAAATTTTTAATTTTTAATTCAAATACCTTCTTCATCCATGTTTAAATCGTTTTAATCTGAACGTAAAATATACATATTTTTCAATTATTTTTGTTAAAATATTATTTGTAACTCATTGTAATTTTATGTATTTTGTAAGATTGATAATGACAAAAGTATCCAATGCATGATTTAATCTTATTACAGCGTAATCGTTACCGAATAGGAAATGTATTTACTCTATTGAATTATCTGAGCACTTCCTATTACACAATCTACAAAATATGACAGTAGTCCATGAAGTCACAGACAAGTAGACTGTGTCATGTTGGCAGATGTCAACTGTCTGATTGGGGCCTGTGAGATGATAATAATCGATGGTTAGAGACTCTGAATGACATGGCTGAAAACTGTTTGCAGAGGCGCATGTTCTCTTTCAAATCCTACACTTCTTAATTGCTCATCACTTTATCTTTTTCTTTTCAAGTTTATTTCACTAGATTCTACTTCTTGAGTCATATATCGTCGAACCCTAAAATCTCCGATTACTGCTAATGCTTTAACTAAGTCTACTACTATATGATTTGCACTGACAGTTGCGTCTCTGTGCTAATGTGGCAAGGCAACTTTAAACTGATGTACGTACGTACGTACGTACGAAGTTCTACGTTTCTATTGATTGATTGACTGACATATTCCAACGTCTTGTTTTCCTAGGCTTTATAGCCTACTTCCTATGATGAAATGCTGATTCATGACTTTTTTTGTTATGGGTTATCATTATAACCAGTACACTTTTTTATTTTATTAATCCACTGTCATCCCTGACTTCATTAAATTGCCTTGATTGTATACTAGAGAGATAAAGTCTCTGATGATTGCGATGGTGGTGTTTCGTTCCCTGTGGTGGTTGTTTTAGTTGTGAAGTTGTATTCTTGTTCTTTTTCTAAATAACACAACTGAAACATCCAGCTCAGAGAGAATGAAACGCCACTACAATCATCCATTTGAGTAACAAATTTTCTCCACCGTCTTGAAGTCTAGTGAAAACAACCTTAATTGTTGTTTTTTTTTCACATTTGTTGTTTGAATTATGATTGATCAATAGTCAATTGACAATCAAAATAATGTTGAGTAATTTCAATGACGGAAATGGAATTTTTTGTTTGAAAAAATCGCAGTACTCACCCGATGAATATTAATGAGGGAGAATATTACTAATCTGTTTCTCATGAGTAGTGCTTGCTAAATAATTTAAAATGTGATTATATAACACAAATGACAAGCCGACTCAGTGGTAAAATGGAGAGGGGATGATGGTAAACATTGATGTGTGTGAGACCGAAGGCCCTGGGTTCGAGTCCTGCGAGTGGTGGATGTTATGGCTGCACTCTGTCATGAGAGTGGCTCCATATTCAGACGAAAAAGGCTGTCTAATGTTTCCAGGTTTTCAGATGATAGTCTTATCGGAATCTCTAGAATTCCTTTTCACTAAGTGCTTTCTTAATAGATAGATATTAAGGTTCCGTTTAAAGTTAGCTTCATTCACTTACAAAGTATTTTAATGCGTTTACACACTTCCAACTTACTCATCAATGCCTGTTACTCCCAATCGAGCATAGGCCACCGATCAGCATTCTCCACCCTATTCTGTGCTGAAATTTCTTGTCCAGTTCTGACCAACTACTGTTCATTAATTTTCATATATGTTTCCAATCTTCGGTTCAGTTTGTTTATTTGCCTTAAGGACTTTAAGTAAGGGATTGTCTTGTGACGCAGACGATAGATTGCCACAATGTGCGTCTTATTCACTTGCATCGTATCTTCCTGCTTTTTGTCTTTGCTAGAATCTGATTTATTCTCTCCTAGGTGTAAGTAAGTAAGTAAGTAAGTAAGTAAGTAAGTAAGTAAGTAAGTGAGTAAGTAAGTAAGTAAGTGGGTAAGTAAGTAAGTAAGTAAGTGGGTAAGTAAGTAAGTAAGTAAGTAAGTAAGTAAGTAAGTAAGTAAGTAAGTAGGTGAGTAAGTAAGTAAATAAGTAAGTAATTGAGTGCATAAGTAAATAAGTAAGTTAGTATTTCAATCCAGTTAAACAAAAATGTCTGGCCAACAGATACACCAAAATTTCTGTAGACAACTATTAATGACTACTTGTATCTTCTGGATGATAGCTTTGATAGTTTTCCAAGTTTCTGTCACATACAGTAGAACTGTTTTGACATTTTATATTGAGAATTATGATTTTAGTGTCGATTAATATTTGTCATGAATTGCAAATGTTGTTCACTTGTAGAAATGTGTTGCCTTTTCACTTTCCCAAATTCGCGCACTTTAAACACTCTTTTAAACATGATATGAATTCAATTGAAAACTGTATGTATTGACTTGTTATTGAGTATATTCGTTTTTTCAACTGTACAAACTGATAAATTTATTTTCTTTTTTTGTTTATCAAAATAAAATCTATGAATAAACATATAAACATATCTGACTGATTTAAAAGTTTACTTGAAAACCATTACTCCTCTATTCAATCAATGCACAGTGTTCCAAATGTGTTATTTGTTAAGCTTTAAGTTGGGTTTTTTTTAAAAAAAAGCCAACCATAGATAACCCGAAGATAATAGTAGTAGTAGTAGTAGTAGTAGTAGTATTATCAGTAGTTTATTTACTTACGAATAAATTATGTTTGCTTTTATTTCAACATGACTATAGTAGAGTTAATCTATTGTGGTTTAGAGAGAGAGTGAGTGAGTGAGAGAGAGAGAGAGAATATTATACATACATATGTAAATCAATAAAACCTTATCTATAATGTGACAGACAGTCTTCTTTACATCAAGTTGTATATATTAATTTTTATGTTTATCATTATTGAACAAACATTAGATAATACCAACATGTTTATTGGTCTGAAACAGTCAAGTTTGATGATAATGTGTATGTTGAAAGAGAAAATATAAAAGTAAGAGAAGTTCAACACAGTGATTTCTCTCTTTCTGTATCGAATTTATTACTTACGCTTGCTGTCCTATCTATCTATCTAATCGATATTCATTCTTTTCATGTACTTTAGTCTTTCGCTTTTCTGTTGACTTTGAGGATTCCAAGTAAGGGCTTGACTTGTGACACAGATGGGTGATTTCTATGACATATTGCTTACTTACTTACTTACGCCGGTTACTCCTAGTGGAGAATAGACCAGTATTCGCCAACCTACTTATTCTGTCCTCAGACTGCTTTTCCACTTCTATCCAATCACTGTTCATCCTTCTCATGTCTGTCTTCATTTCTCGACCGCCCTCTTTTCCGTTGACCTTGAGGGTTTGTCTTGTGACGCAGTTGGATGCTTTTAGCATTGTGTGTCCTATCCGCTTCCACTGCTTCTCCCTGATTTCCTTCTCAAGTGGAATCTGGTTTGTTCTCTCCCATAGTAAAATGCTGCTGATAGTGTCTGGTCAACGAATCCGAAGTATTTTGAGTAGACAAGTGTTGATAAATACTTGTATCTTCTGGATGATGGCTTTGGTAGTTCTCCAAGTTTCCGCTTCACACAGTAGAACTGTCTTGACATTTGTATTGAAAATCCTGACTTTGGTGTTGGTTGATATTTGTTTGGAGTTGCAGATGTTGTTCAGTTGTAGAAATGCAGCCCATGCTTTGCTGATCCTCGCCCTCACATCTGCATCGGATCCACCTTGATAATTAATGATGCTGTCCAAATATGTCAAAGTTCTAACCTCCTCCAAGGCATCTCCATCAAGAGTGATTTGGTCGGCAGATGTTGTGTTGTATCGGAGAATCTTAATTTTCCCTTTTTGTACGCTGAGATATACACGTACATGAATATAATAAATTTATGATAAGAAGTAGTTATGTTGTGTTTAAACTATTTCAATATACTGAATGATCTATACAGCAACAATCAAACATGATCGGTATATGATCAATCCTTAATAGAATCCAGCCTGTCGATCTCAAAATAGTAGGCCGTCTAGGATGTCCTTCATTATTGTGGTGGTGTTTCGTTCGTTCTCTAAGCTGGTTGTTTTGGTTGTGGAGCTTTCATTGTTCTCCTGCTGAACAACATCATCAGTAGCACAAACTTCAGATAGAAGAAGTGAAGTATTCGAATTTCTCCACGTTTGACCTGTAGCTTGTTCAAAAGGGGGATACAATCAAAACAAAGGTACAAACAACGACAGGTTTAAAGGTCAACAGCAACCAATCAAGATCGAGGTCAGCAGAACAAGCTACAGGTCATGCACGTGGAGAAATTCGAATACTTCACTTCTTCTATCTGAAGTTTGT